TGCAAAGATTTCCTCCTAATTCTTTTCCCCATCCAAGCCAATAAAGTGAGATATGAATCATGGAAAGGAATGCCAGCCATGGATGACAAAGTCTGCCAAATCTGAGCTGAAAAACTGCACTTAAAAAAAATGTGTTCACATGTTTCCGACATTAAGCCACATAAAGTGCAGATATCAATGCTGCTTGATGTCCATTTTTTCTGCCTTGCTTTAGTGGTTAGCCTATTCAAAATGGCCACCCACCCAATGAAGCGATGTTTGAGAATAAGGTCTGAAAACCATACTAGCTTGAACCAAGGAACCCTTCTGCGCTTTTGTCTTGGCCAATGCCATGTTTGCCCGATATGAAATCTTTCAAAGGCTAAGGATACCCACACAACAATATCTTTAATTCCCTCTTGGGCTAAAACCAACTTTTATCCCCTCACCTTACAAAATTGATAGGTTTTAACCTCTAATATTATAATATGACATTTTTAGCTCTTTACCTTATAAAATTGGTAGGATTTAACCCCTCACTTTACAAAATTGATAGGTTTTAGTCTCTCACCTTATATTATGACACTTTTAGCCCCTTATATATACAAATTGAAGAAAATAACTCTCACTTAATATCAGGTTATAATATTTAGTTAGTTCTGTTAGTTGACTATCAGTTCTATTAACTGACTGTTAGTTCTGTTAGCTGACTGTTAGTATTCGTTAGTATTACGTTAATGGAAATAACAAATAAAATTAAATTTAAATTTCATATTTTTAATAACGAAATGTTAACGGATGTTAACAGTCAACTAATAGAACTAACAAAATGTTATAACCTGATATTATGTGAAAGTTATTTTCTTTAATTCGTATAGGTGAGGGGTTAAAAATATCATAATATAAAGTAAGGAGTTAAAACCTATCAAATTTGTAAGGTGAGGGGTTAAAACATACCAAATTTGTAAGGTAAAAGATTAAAAGTATCATATTATAAAGTAAACAGCTAAATTTACAATTTTGTAAGGTAAAGAATTAAATGTTGGTTTTTACCGCCTTCTTGGGGATATAGCTTGCCACATGGATCAACTTGAATCTGAACTAACTGTAGAGAGTGGGCTGGAGACCGATTCCAATAATCTTGCACTACCACAGCTAACTTTTCCTAATAAAGAAGAGCTGCATCTTAAACTATTCTGGATCCGTAAGTTTCAATCAATGGACCAGTTGGATGCCAAATGAATGTGTCCTTGCCATCCTCTGGAATATGCTTGACAAGTCAAATCAAAAAATTATAATATTATAATTATAATATTTTAATATTTTAATATTTTTTAAATATAAT